CCGAGGGAAAGAGAATTCCTGGGGTGACTTGAAGAGCTGCCAGCAGCAGCTCCCTGGGGACCATTGATTCTGTCATGTGTTGGGGCTGGGTGTTCACTTGGCTCCAGGGCAGCTGATGCTAGCCTGTTGCAATAGCTCACCCGAGCTTTTTCCCTCCTCCTGTCAGTTATTCAGATTACCCAACAGCCAGTCCTGGTTATGGGAGTGCTGCAGGACTGCTCATGCGTTTTCAAGAGCTGTAGTTTGGCCATCACCTCTCGATGAGTTGATCTCTGACGTGCCCAGGAGTACATCCTTTCCTTTCTTCTGCTTCATCATGTAAATCATTTTGGAAATGGCAGCTCTTCTGCTGTGCTTTGTGTGTGGCCAGATCTGCAGCTGCATAGTGTTGAGTTACCTGGCACTGGTCAGGGGAGAAGATTTTAGCTGGTAAGAGAAGAGATAGAGAAAGTGGATTGAAAAGGTTTAATTGACCATCCTAGAGATGTCACATCTTTCTCTGGCCCTTTCCACTAATTCCCTGTCATGTACCAACTGCAGTGGTGTTGACTAAAATTTCCTCTCCAAAAATACAGTTTTCTAAACTTAACAAGGACAAGAGCACAGACCTAGTGCTTCTTCCAGTGTCTTGCACAAGGAGTTAGGAGATTCTTCCTGTGTTGTCAAACAGTTTTAAACTGAAATCTGCTGCCTGTTGCAGATTGATAGGCTGGGAAAAAAAAAAAAAAAAAAAAAATTTTGTTGGTGCCCTAGGTCTGGCCAGGATGGAGTTAACTTTCTTCGTAACAGCTCTTCTGGTGCTGTGCTTTGGATTCCTGGCTGAAGCAGTGCTGGTAACACACCTGTGCTTTGGCTACTGCTTGTCCGGTATCAGGGCTTTCTCCCCTCCGCACCCCGCCCGGCGAGCAGGCTTGGGGTGGACGACAACCTGGAAGGTGACACAGCAGGGACACAGCTGCCTAGAGGGATATCCCATACCACGGAATGGCACGTTCAGCAATAAAAACTGAAGGAGGGGAAGAAGGAAGGGTGGGGTTTAGCTTCCAAGGTGGCTTTTGGTCGGAGCTTGGCTGGGCACCAACCTGCTCCTGGGAGGTGAGGGGCGATTGCCTTTGCAGCACTTGGCCTTCTCCATCTTCCTCGAGTCCATCGGTAGGACCTCAGCTCTGCCAAGTCCTCAAACTCATTCAAGCAACCTGAAAGCAGGGATGGGTGGCTGCCAGTGAGCAAAGCATACCAATCGATGGTCTTGAACTCAGTGAAGTTTCAGACTTCTCTCACCTTGACCTTATGGGATGCTATAGACAGGGGATGACAAACACCACGCTGGGGTGTTGTAAATCACGAAGCATGGTACTTCAAGCACTTTCCCTCTTTCAGGAAGCAGTTGTGGTCTAGTTGGGGTGAGCAACAGCAGATTTATCCAGGAGAGCTTGTTCTTATTTCATGTTGAAAACTTAAGGAATTGACCTGTTATTTCAAGTCCAGGGAATGGCCCAGCTGTTAGTGTTTTCTGTGCTATTTTCTTACCTCAGGGATTCTCCAAGTTCACCGTTTTGCATAATTTTTTATAGGAATTGCAATGTCTCATCTTCAAGACCCAGACTGAATTCAGACTCTTTCAAGTCCCCTGTGCCCTCTGCCTCCCCGCTGCAGTTCTGGTCCTGTTTCTGAGCTACTTAGGCAGACGTCTGGGATGTTAACTTTTCTGCCTGAACTGTTAATAAAGGATTCAGAAAGTATCTCCCATCATGGCTGTAATATTCTGCACATCAAAGCATTGCTTTTATTTTTCAAATGGTGGTGTTTTACTGTTTGCCTTTGAGGGGTGTTCTTACCTGTCGCAGAACAGGCTCCGTAATGTATCCCCATCAGTCATAGCCACGCTGCTTGGCCAAGTCCACGTCTCTGGGGCTGTCATTCCTTACTAATTCCTGGATGGGCCGATGGAGCTGTGGTCTAGGTGTGTCTGTTTCACAGCTGGCACACTGTGGATTTGTGTGTGGTTAGCACACTCCAGGTAACCCTGTGCAGTGAGTGTTGTTTACCTGTGAGTCAAAGGCTGACGGTGGCGTGGGAGCGGGTGGTGTACGTGGAGGTGGAAACAGCGTGTGTTGTGTAGTGGTGCTTGACACAAAAGGCTGCTCCAGGAGATCTGGTAGGGAGAGGCATCGTTAAATACTTTTCTTTGTACACTCATTACAGGCTGAGGGTTTCTGGTGCTGTCTCAAGAAGTATTAAAAGAAAGAGTTGAGTAATAAAGCAGTTCCAGGGTAGTGAGACATCTGAGGGTTACGGACCTTTGGGTGGAGGGTGCTCTGGCTTTGTAGCTGCAGTAGCTCAGCCCTGGTGGACTGAATTGAGGAGACAGAGCTGTTTTGAAATGATGGGACAAAGAAACCATGTTTGATGTTCTAAATAAGGGTTCAACTACTAGTGCATCAATAAACCAAGATAACATCTTAACTTTTGTGGCCAAATGCTGTAAGCTTTATGTTGGTGTTTGTTTTGAGACGTGTGATTTGTTTCTTCTAGGAGATGCATCCACAAGTCCTTCATTATCAAGAGCAACAGCAAGCAAAGAGTTAGATGAGCAGGCAAGAAAAAACATCCCTGGGAAGAACAGGGGGAAGAGGAAAGCAGATACCTCGTCCTCACAGGACAGCGAGCTGGAGGTAAGGAGTAATCTTGTTTTCTACAGGTAGCATTGCAGAATAGTGTGGTGGTAACAGTCCTCTCTTTGTTTCGTCCTATCTCCATGGAAATGGAAGGGGATCATTAGACTCACAGAACAGTTTGCGTTGGAAGGGACATTTAAAGGTCATCTAGTCCAAAAACCCCTTCAGTGAGCAGGGACGTCTTCAGTTAGGTCGGGTTGCTCAGAGCCTCGTCCAACCTGACCTTGAATTTTTCCAGGGTTGGGCCATCTACCACCTCTCTGGGCGACCTGCTCCAGTGTCTCACCACCCTCACAGTAAAAAATTTCTTCCTTATATCTATTCTGCATCTACCCTCTTTTAGTTTAAAACCATTACCCCTTGTCCTATTGCTACAGGCCCTGCTAAAAAGTCTATCTCCATCTTTTTTATAAGCCCCATTTAAGTACTGGAAGGCCACAGTAAGGTCTCCCCGAAGCCTTCTCTTCTCCAGGCTGAACAGCCCCAACTCTCTCAGCCTGTCCTCACAAGAGAGGTTTTCCATCCCTCTGATCATTTTTTGTGGCCTCCTCTGGACCCACTCCAGTAAGTCCATGTCTTTCATGTGCTGAGAGATATTTGGGAAATTCCCATGACTCATGTTATCTGAGAACTGACCCAAATGAGTTCTGCAGTAGTCCTTGAAAAGCATCACTTAAACTCATCTTGGAACCATAGTGGTGTCAATGGAGGAGACATCTGGATGTCTCTAGCACAGCCTCCGCTCAGAGCAGGGCTGTCCCCAGCACTAGAACCATGGCTTTGTCTAGCTGAGTCTTGAGAACCTCCAAGGCTGGAGATCCTGTACGTGTTTAGTGATCTGTCCCAGGACTACCACATCCACCTGGGAAAGGGGGTTTTCTATCTCCCAACTGGATCTCCCAAGCTGCAAAATTCCCCTTGATTTTCTATGGCAACCATCTGCCACGATTGCAAAGAATTTGTCTCCGTCATCTTTGCAGTTCCCTTTCAATTAGTTGTGGTCTGCTGTGAGATCACCTCTAGCCTCCTCTTTGCTGAGATGAACCATCACAACTCCCTCAGCCTTTCTTCTAGGCTGCTGACCATCTCAACAGCCTTTTGCTGGCCCATCTCTAGTTTCCTCACATACCTCTGGAACTGGGGATGCAATCTGGGATGGCCTTCCCGGTGCCAAGCGGGGTGAGACGGCACCTTCCTTCTACCAGCTGGGCACACTTCGTGTTCTCCCGCACACAGTTCATCTTATCCAGAGGGAGGGAGCACTGCTGGCTTGTACTGTCCTGGCGTCCACTGTACCCTCCAGCTCCTTCCAGCCGGGACCAATACAAGGGGTTATTCTACCCCACATGCAGAATCTGCAGTTATTGATCTAGTTCCTGCTGGCCCAGTTCTCAAGTTTGTCAAAGTCCTGTTCTGAAACTCTGCTGTCCCTCGTGGCGGCCAGTCCTCCTTGTTTATCGTAACAAATGTGTCTCTGATAAACACCAAGGTCGTTTACTGGGTGCTCTCCAGATCACAGGCAGTAAACTTCTACCCTAGTAGGGCTCTAAAGTTCATTAGCACTTTAAGTTTTTGCTTTTATAACTCTAAAAGCAAGAGAAGCTTTTGAAATAGTTTGAGCAACAGAGCCTTGGGTGTAGAGTTGCACTGTCGGCACTAAACTCAGAGATGAAGTGTTCAGTCTGTAAGATGAATACTATGTTCAGATCTGGTAAAGGCATACCGCAACTAGCCACAGAATTAACCCTAAAACTTGCTTTGTTATTGTAGCTCAGTGCTTGGAATATCTCGACTCTAACCTGCTTTTATTCTCTATGCAGAGAGTGTTTCTCTGGGACCTGGATGAGACCATCATAATCTTCCATTCACTTCTCACAGGGTCTTATGCTCAAAAATATGGCAAGGTAGTATTGACTTTTTTGTGGAAGAAAAAACATATCTGTCATGCAGAAGTAAATGTTAATCTTTGTAAAAGGAATAGAAAATGATATTTTGTTTTAAATTGAAATTTGATACTTTTATCTTGTTGGCACCTTGGACTGGGGGAAGAACACTAAATTTGGCTTTATACAGAGCTAGGGTGTGGGTATCACAAACACTTCCCACTAACAGCATGACTCTTAAAATGTCAAACTGTTTTTATCATCATTGGGAATTGTTGGGATCGGAGCATGTAGTGAGAAGAAGTGTGTTTTCTCCTTCAAAATATATTGAAGATTTTTGAATGTTTGGTTTGTGTTGCATCTGAAAATGCATCAGTCCCTGCTATGCAGTACTGACATGTTTTGTTAAATTTTGGGTCGCTTTTTTACTAGAATGTGAATTTTGTTTTTATTCAGTTTTTTAAAATACATGGGGAATTGTAATTTACATCATTGATTGCAGATGGAATTACATCAGGCTTGATATACAGTGGAAACTCCGTGCAATGTAGCTGATGAAAGGTTTATCACCATTCGCTTCTGCCTACAGCGAATTTACATTTTCTCTTTTTGTTTTGCCAGGATCCAACTCTAGTGATTGGCTCGGGTCTGTCAATGGAGGAGATGATTTTTGAAGTAGCTGATACTCACTTGTTTTTCAATGACTTGGAGGTACGTGGCAAATGTTTTTAAAAGGCAAAGCTCCACGTTACTTGGTTAGAATTACACTGCACCGTTTGTGAGGGCTCTTGTTCTTCAGAGCCACTTTAATGCTGATACGTAGCAGTCTTCCAAAACTGAAGTGTTTCTAAGGACAACCACACCAAAGATGTGTGCTCTCTTATCTGAGACAGGCTTTCTGCGGACTTCTGGTGTCATGAGCTCTCTTATGGGTTTCTGCCTGAACCTCTATAAATAAAGAGAGTGATGTCTGCTTTGTCTCGTATTTGCATTCTGGACTGGAAAGCACTTTGCTTTCCCTGGTCCTGTTTTGAAATAGCAACCAGAGATGCGGGGAAAAAGGTGACCTTGAGAACATCAGTTCTCAGAGGCTTTGACTAAGCCAAGGACAGTACAACTTGTGCGTCTCAGCCAGCGTCTCGGTAGTTTCCGTTGGCTGTGTAGCAGCTCTGAAGGACACGTTCCCATAGACAAGCACGTACACGTGGAGGTCCCACAGCACCCTCCGTTTATCTTTCCTGCAAGCTATCTCTGCTGCTCGCCTGATCCCATCCTGCCTCAAGGACTTCCCGTCAGCTCCCATCCTCTTTCCTGAGCAGTATTCTTTGCCAAATGAGATACCTCTGCAGTGCCTCCACAGAAGCTGAACAGACATCTCTGCGTTAATCCTGGCAGTGCCCTGTGCTGTGCTCTGATATGTCGTCAGATAGCACTGGGCACAGTCATCTATACGGGAGGGTGTGAAGTTACGCCAGAATCTGGAACTAAATGGTTGGAAATAGCAAATTTCCTGACATGTCTTCTTTATGAGTCCACAGATATGGACTCAGGAACCTACTTTGCAGAATTTACAGGACTAGTTTAAAGCTTAGGAAGGCTGAATATGAACAGTGAACAATTAATTGTAGGTGCATCACTGATGTACATCGTGGGAAAACAAGATGGGTGTGTAGATGCAAATAGAAGCTTAAATGAAGTTTCCATTTGTGGCTGCGACCACTTGCAGCTGTGAGCTTTGCAAAGGTGGTGATGACAGTTACCTCCCTGCCCTGGAAAAAAACAAAACAAACAAAACACCAACTAGAGTCTCTTGTGCTGGAAAGGCAGTTGTTGATATGTTTACTATGTGATCAACAACAATTATTGCTGTAGGTGTTGGTTAGTAAGCAGCAGCAGGAAATTCTTGTAATGGGGAAAATTCAGTTTTTGTCCCAAGGTATTTGCAGTTTGTCTCTGGGTTAAATCGTCTGTGCTGAGCACCGGAGCCTTGGCAGTGCTACCGTGCTGATGTTTCACTCCAGGGTTCATGCTCTGGCTCTCTGGTAACAGAATTGACTGTTGTGTTGGTGAAATGGAATATCAACACTTGACCAGATGATGTATTTTTGGGTTTGTTTGGTTTGGTTTTTTTTGAAATTACAGAAGGGTTTCAAATAATAAGTGAGCTTTGAGGCCAACCTCTTTAGTGAGTGTTGAAGTTCCTTTTTTGCAGACAACTTGAAATGTCATGGAAACATGCTTTTTTCAGACTTTGCTGGTACTTCAAATCCCAGTCTTGGCAAGGACCTGTAGGTGCTGAGAAGTAAAACCTGGTACTGGAACACAAAGCTAATGGAAACTAGGCATAGGTTTGTGGAGGCAGTATGGCACGGCTTGTTGCCGTTGGGAATTGAGAGAGGATTGTTGTGTATCACACTTCCTTCAGTCTGCAAATTTCAGTATGTTTCTAGATTACAACAGTGTGACTTTTTTTTTTTTTTTCTTAAACAGGAGTGTGACCAGGTGCACATAGAAGACGTGGCATCTGATGACAATGGCCAAGATTTAAGGTGACGTACTGATGAATGCATGAAACGTACAGCTGATGTAATCTGTTTGTTGTGGGACTTCAAACCCAAATGGGGTTATACGATCAGCATTGTGCAGCGGATGGAACTTGGCAAATTCTGTTTGTTTGCTGGGTGGTATTTCTCTGAAGACCTACAAAACATTAAGATTTTCAGAACTGTAATGTGAATTATATTGTCCGCTGTTGAGTGTTGTCCATGTACTCAATGACATGTGATGAATGGAGAACCAACACTCCCAACTTCATGATCTTGACCTTTGAAAGTCTCCCTATGGTTTGCATCCCTCTGCAAGCTGATCGTGTACACTGACAGGAGAGGTGAGGGTAAGTTTTCTGCTGCATTAATGAGCTGCACTGGCTCAAGGAAAGGTCTGAGAAGTCCCTGTCTGTCAGGGAGACAGAAATACAGGGCAGGTGGTGAAGCAGGACCTGCTTGCTGCAGTCCTGAGATGGCAAAGCAGCTCATCTGCTTGTGGAGCTGCAGCTGTGATGTAAAGACACAGACATTATGTTTGGAAAATACTGTGCTGGGGTTTATCCCTGCAGGATGAGAAAGGGGTTAGAGGGCAGGATGCTCTGTATCGCAGAGCAGTGAGCAAAGAGCAAGGGAAGGTTTTGTCCTGGAGGGTGGGACACAAGAGTTGAATCAGTGCATTTCAGGGCAGCAGTTCTGAACTGGCAGCAGATGTAGTTGGATATCAGAGTACGTTGCCCGTTGAAGCCGGTCTCTGCTGTTGGGGTGCGGTGGCGGTTGTCCAGAGTTCCCCTCCGAGGTGCTTCTCTAGCTCCTGTCAGAGCTGAAGTCTGCAACCCCACCTGAAAAGCTGCAGTGATTCTGCTGCTGTGGCACACATAACACATCTGCTTTTCTGAAATAGCAACTACAATTTCTCCACGGATGGCTTCAGTGGCTCAGGCAGCAACGCAAATCACAGCTCATCGGTTGGTGTCCAGGGTGGAGTGGACTGGATGCGAAAACTGGCCTTCCGCTACCGCCGAGTACGAGAGATCTACGACAAATACAAAAATAACGTTGGAGGTGAGTGTTCACCTGCACCGGTATCTGAGCACTCAACAGCACTTGTGGTGCCAGACTCCATCCTTCCCCAGAGCTTTTGCTTTCCTGAATGTTTGGACATGACAAGTAACCGTTGTGCTAGTGCTAAATGGGATCAAATCTCCATGGAGTCTAAAAGCATACGGCTTCCAAACTGAACGGCGTGCCAGTGCGGTCTGTGGGCTATCGTGTGTAGGTAGGGATGGTCAGTCAATCCTGTGTCTAAGAGAAAGTTTTGGTGCAAACGGTGTCCCTTGGGTGATTTTGTATGAAAGGCTGCCTGTCACTCTGCTTAGAATGGGCCTAAATCACTTACATATCGTGCTGCTTCGGAGGTCCTTTCACTCGTGTCTTCACAAAATCTGTCTTTTACCATGCCATCGTCACGAAATGGTGTTCACCCTTTTGGCTGTTGTGCTCATAGTCTGGTGTGATATCTCCACCATCTGTTCACAGAGTCACTTAAAATCTTCTAGTTTTCCTTCCCTTTCAATGCCAAAGCAGTAATAATGATGCACACAACAGATACCAAATGCAGATACATCTTCAGTTGCTGAATCTTGGCACTGAGTTCCCTAGGAAAGGGGTGCTGCTGGAGCAGCTCACCTGGCAGAGTGACTCGCCCTGGTGGGCTGTGGGTTTGGGTACCCTTTGCCTACACAAAAAAAAACCTTGAGAAAATGTTTTCTTGGACATATTTTCTAAAAACCAGGTGTTCAAAACTACAACTTTCAGCCTTAAAAATCTTACCAGTGTAAGTTTGCATTTCACTATGCTGCAGTTTCCTTATTTCTGGTAGGGATCAGACCACTGTTCTGTATTTTGCACGTGGGAAGCCTGGATGCAGAATTTTTCAGGCCCTGTCTAAAGCCAGGTGGCAAAGCAGTTGGCAGCGCAGCCCACGGTGGGTCCCTGCCTCCGTGGCCTCATTGTTAGAGGACTGGTGGACTTCAGCGCTGGGGTGAGGTGGGGGGTCCATCCATCATGGCTGGAAGTTGGGTGGAGAGAGGTTCAGACTCAAGATGCTCCCGTCTTGTTGTGTGTAATGAGAGGAGCAGGGGTGAGTGTATGGGCTGCTTTTATTCAAAACTGGATGCTTTGAGAAAATTGTATCTAAAAGAGAGAATAAATAAGAGGATTTAGAACAAGTGATAAATAAAGTTACCTAAAAGGGATCAAAGTGGGAAGGATCCTTGTGCCTGTGGGAGCGGGAGGGCAGACAAGGCGATTGCAGGTGCTCCTTCCCTTGCTGTCAGTGGCCGTGGACAACTCCTGCTGTTGTGAGTGCTTTGGACAAGAGAAATGTGTTTTGTTGCCTGCATCCTGAGAAATGGTTGGAAATTGTCAGAGAAATGTCTCTGCAGACTCACGGGTGGGTGTCTGGGCTCATGCACGTCGATGGAAGTTGGTTTCACCCGTTGCCTCCAGACAGTCTCAGCTTTCCGATACCTCCAGTACCGTGTGGTTTCTTGCAGAACAGGCAGTGGTGGCTCTCGCTGTGTTAGACGTGCCAGCTCAGCTGGGAAAGCTCATGTTGCTTGCCTTCCAGGCCTTCTTAGCCCGCAGAAGAGGGAAGCTCTGCAGCGACTAAGGACTGATATAGAAGTGCTAACGGATTCCTGGCTGGAAACTGCATTAAAGTCCCTGCTGCTCATACAGTCCAGGTATGGAAACTGGCGATGTGTATGATGCTTTCTCAGCCCTTTCTCTCACTTAGACTTGCATGCAGTGCCGTGTTGCAGCAGTGTCCGTAGGTAATACTACTGCTGCTTGTCACAGGTACTGGGAAACAAAGCGAGTGAGTGCAAGGACTCCACTCCTGAGCACCCTTTGGGATTTTTCTGCTGCACCATCTGCTGTTAGGAAGGTCCCCATAATGGGACTGTGCTCGCAGAATTGCATTTCTGCCAGACAATTTCTGATCACAACAAAAAACAAAACAAAAACCACAAGTCAAAACCTTGGCCTAAAAAGCCTCATGAAAGTAGGTCAACAAAGCACGTGGCACTTTGGAAAGCCGAGCAAGCTGCCCAGAGGAGCCCTCGGCACCGCTGGCCATTGATACGCTTCTACAAAGTGTTTTTCTTCTTTTAGAAAAAACTGTGTGAACATCCTGATCACAACCACCCAACTGGTGCCAGCTCTTGCCAAAGTTCTCCTGTATGGATTGGGCGAGGTGTTTCCCATCGAAAATATTTATAGTGCTACAAAAATAGGTAAGGGGTTGTGCTGAGTACCTGGCACTGAAATGTCTGCTGCAGGTTCGCTGGGATCTTTACACAGGAAATACGATTTCTGCAGCTGATCAGCCCCCGTGGCTGCGGAGGTCCAGCTGGCCAGTGGTGGCTTCTGGCCTCACCAGCTGAACTGGGTGGTATCCCCTTCCCAGTAATACAAGGTTGTGTTTCTCTACTGGGAAGAAGGGACCTGTTCAGGCTTCTGCTACTCTCTGCCTAAGGCTCATGACAGTGGGATTGTCTTTTGGCAGGTAAAGAGAGCTGTTTTGAGAGGATCGTGTCACGATTTGGAAAGAAAGTCACCTATGTGGTAATTGGAGATGGGCGTGATGAAGAGGTTGCAGCTAAGCAGGTGGGTTTCTGACTCTGCAGAGGTGGCGTGTGGGTGGATGGAAAGAGAAGTTACTGCAGCAGTCTTTTTCCACAGGGACTCTTTCCAGGGCTGAACTCTTCTGGCCAGGGGAAGTCGGGGGGAAACTTTGCCTTTGATACAAAAGGTCTTGCATCCCTGGAGGGGTTCAAGGCCAGGCTGGATGAGGCTTTGAGCAACCTGGGCTAGTGGGAGGTGTCCCTGCCCATGGCAGGGGGTGGCACTGGATGATCTCTAAGGTCTCTTCCAACACAAACTGTTCTGTGATTCAATGATTCTGTCTTTCACTACATTAAGATGGGGAGTTTTCTGGCTCTTCGGGGTTTAAAGTTTCTGTTTAACTCTTGTTTAGGATAGTGTATAACATTGACCTTGTAAAACAGTATCTTGATGTAGGATGTCTTGATCATAGCAGCTATCGGTTGAGATAATGCGATTTCTCAGAAGCGTGGAGGGAGCCAGGACTGGGATGCCAGCAGTCAGATCAATACACAGCGTCTGTCATTAGGCTGAGTTACAAACAAGGGGCAAACAGTTCAGTTGATCTGGATGGGCCTGAATGGGTCACTCAGTCACGCCAGTGAAAGGCAGTGAAGTGCATAGATTACTGTCAGGACATCGTCTCTGCATGCTTCATGCCGTCTGCCGTGTGCCAGAGTTGTCATCTGCGCAGGTTCCCTGTGAGCCCTGGAACAGCTTTCCTGGGTCAAGCAGCAGCTCCCAGCTGGGCGCTGACGTTTCCATCGTCAACGTGCAAAGCAGCCGATAGTGCTCGTGCCCGTCATAAACAGACGTGCAGATAAGATAGGCTTCAGATACCAGCGTGCACGTGGCCAATATCCTTCCTGAACTCAGCGTGCTCAGACAGGGCTGTCACAAATTCTGTATTGCACAGCCCTACAGGTGAACCTTGACTGCTTCCACCGCGCTGTAAAATCACCGCCATAAACCTGCCCTTGTCTCTGTTACAGCACAACATGCCTTTCTGGAGGATCACAAATCATGCAGACCTCGTGTCCCTTCACCAAGCCCTCGAGTTAGACTTCCTGTAAGAAGCTGGAGCAAAGGCGTGACTGCAGCTCCTGCAAGCCCTCTCCGTCGCTGGGGAGGCAGAAATCTCATACATCTGGGGACTCACTTTTCAGCTTGATGAAGAAAACATACCTAATGCAAACTGTACAGTAAAACATGACACCAGGCTGTTTCCTCAGGAGCAAGGTCCTGCCAAGTACAAAGGTGTCGTCTAAAGAAGCACTAGACTCGGCAGAGCTAGAGCTTGTCTGAAGAAGAGACTGACAGAAGCCAGCTGAATTCCTCTAGCAGGTAGTCTCCAGAGGGAGAGGGTGATACAACAGCAGAAGTATTTGTAAGAGCCTTCTCCTTTCTATTCAGCTTAGTTGTAGAACCCAAGTAAACACAAAACCTTATTTTTATAGGAAAATACTGATGGCAGAGCTGAACCTTCCTTGTTTTGCAAAGCCAAAAAGAGCTATGTTGTTTTTTTTTTCCATAGGAAATATTAATGAAAATGTCAAAAATACCTCTGTTGCTGTGAAATGTGTCCTCTCTCCTTCCCTGGGTGTTCAAAGCAGTTAATTTATTACAATGTCCTTGTGTTATTTCCTCAACATGGGATTACTGGAAAATAGATAACTGAATGTTTCTGGGATATGTTGTTCCTTGTAGAGGAAAGTGTTGGTGTTCTGAGTTGATCCCAGTGGCTTCTGGTCAATGTGTGCACAAGCCCTGTTAACAAGCAGGAGATCGTTGGATTCCAGCTATCCATGACCCAGACCTTAGATCCCACAGATTGTCCCTGTAAAGGAGAACAAAGCTGCCTGTGAACATGAGATACAGCACAAGACCGTTGCAGACTGCTCAGATGTGACCAGAGTCCTCATCTGGACTAGGAATAATTTGAGAGAACTAAATCCTCATGAATGTTAGAAAGAAGGGGGGTTATCCTACACCTCTGCTTTCCTGACTCCATTTGTAAGTTCCTTTTAGTAGAATCAGATTCAATTTTCTTGTATTCTTCTTTGCATTAGCCTAACTACATAGAAACAAAACCTTTCTTAAGAGGGACTTCATTTTCTAGGACACTGTGACTTGCTAGCCTGGAGCACACTGCCCTTGGGGTGATGGTAATGCTGTTTTTTCTGCTCCCATCTCAGAAAAAAATACAGGCTGAAGTCAGTGACCTGCAGTACTGCTAGCCAGAAATAGACAGCCGGAGATGAGGGGCTGGTGTTGTGCCAGGTCAGGCTGTGCTCAGTGGTATCTGCCTCCTCCCTGTACCCCGAGGGCACCAAAGCAGCAGGTACCTGGGGTTTCTGTACAGGGGACAGATGTCTGCCGCTCCCCGCCGCACGCCTCTGCTGCTCCACCTGAGCCAGACACCGCGGCTGCACCCAGACCCTCCACATCACTGGTCTCCAGCATCACCCGTCTGGGACCCACGGGGGACTGGTCTGAAAGCATGTTGCTTCCGAGTGGATGCTGACCCACTCAGGCTGTGCCCACAGAAGCAGGTGAAGTGTTTGCTGCATTCCTTTCATGGCATTAATTACTGAGGAATAATTTCCCTCAGTGCTGGGAGAGTTGCTGGGCCAGCTCTGGTCACCTGGAGGAGGTGCCGAGAGCAAGGGGTTTGGATCCCCAGAGCCGAGAGACTGTTCCAGTTTTTTTTTTTCCTAGATCCAGTTTTCATTTAAAAAAAAAAAAAATAAAAAAAAAATCAAAGGAGTTTCTCTGTCTCCAAGGTGGTCACAGGAGTTGGGAGCAGTCTGCTTTCCATCCCGCTCCTTGCTGGGCGCTGGCCGCGTGCTCTGATCTCGGGCAGATGCTCTGGGGCCGTGTATCTCCCCAGGAGCTCTGCTCAGCAGCGTGCTCTCTGTGTAGCAGCTGCTGCTTGCGAGCAACGTGACCTCTCGCCCCATTAGGAAAATCTGAGGAGCCAGTTTCTGCTGTGGGTGTTCTGAGCGGCTCCAGCAAGGGGATGTCTTGTGGGTGCGCTGACAGCCCCCCCTCTGCTCGCCGCTGCTGGCCCAGCAGAGCCCCTGGAGCAAGGCGGGGACGTGCGGTGGAGGACTCCGCAGGAGGCTTTGAAGAGGAGCAGGAGCCCACGAGGGATGCTCTCCCATGCTGTGTGTACAAGGGGGGAGAGCTCAGGTGTGTTCCCGGGTGTTCCACGCAGCTGGGCAGGTGTGTGCTGGTGGGCTCCGTGCAGAGCAGGGAGAGATGCTGCAGGGCTGCGGCTCCGTTACTGCTGGGTCCATAAAGAGCCCAGGTCCCCTGGGGTCCCTGCGAAGTGTCGGCACTGCGGCAGCTGGAGCGGAGCTGGTAGGAAGGGAGCCATGCTGAGAAACGGCCCCGTTGCTCCCAGGGTCTGCAGTGTTACCAGGAGCTCAGGACTTAATGTGAGTCTGTGCTGGATCCTGAACATCTCTCTGCGGGTCCCTAGCCCATCCAAAGGTCTCCTGTAGGCGGGCTCGGGGGATGTCCCAGCCTGTGCAACAGCCTGGTCAGAGCACGTCTCGTAGTCCATCCGGCTGGACTTTGGGATTAAAACCTGTGCCTTAACCTCCCACCATCCAGCACGGCCCCGCGGCCCCTTTGCTTCCCTGAGGTCCAAAGCAGCTGGCAGCAGAGCCGTGCTGGCCTGCGCGGGGGGACGGGATGTGTTTTGCCCAGGTGCTCGCGGCGAGTGCTGGACCCAAGGTACCAAGCCGCCTGGCAGCTGGCTGGCTTTGCTTTGTGTTTGTTTACTTTAAAATGTTTTAAGGAAATTTTAAGCTGTCAGCAAAATTTTAGCTGAGTGTGGAACTCTTGCAGCCAGTGACATTTCATACTGATATTTATACGATGTCTCCTTGAATGTATGTAAAGTCCTTTTATAATAGGAGGTTGATGGTACATTTCTGTGTTTCTGTTTAATAAAGGCTGACCTGGCTATTTTATTTTTCCTCTCCTGGCTGAATTTAAGACTTTTCCTGTCTCTCGGGTGACAGGAACAGCGTCTCTATCCAAGCACTGATTTCTGTCTGTCTCTGTGCTCTCCTGTGACCCCCAAACTGGCTGGAGCTGACCTGGTGACAAACCCAGATGCCTGAATG